ACTTTTATTTTCGCTTTCTGGCCCACGTGTGATAACGTCCTTAGTTAGGAGGGCCTTAGGTATCAATGAGATGTTTACCTTCTTGAGATAGCCAGGGGTAGCTGTGTTAGTTATGTAGCAAAGTCCAATAAGGCTGCAGCCACTGGGCACGAATAATCAATCCGCTTTGACACCACTTTAACTGCCATGGTTCAAATTCTATGGAAATCTGGGAACTGAAGTTTGTTGCAGCATCAGAGCTCCAGAGCCATGGCAGTTAAAGTGGTGTCATACCGGGTTGTTTCTGCCCTGTGGATGCAGCCTAATATCTCAAATCCACAAAACAGTCATACTTTTATGAGGCCAACCAAAATGCACAAATTACACGTTGGACCATGAGACTATAATAAAAGAGTTCCCATACCTTGGATTAAACATAGATCAGAACAGGGACTGCAGTCAAGAGATCAGAAGTAGATTAGGAATGGGAAGGGCAGCCATGAAAGAACTAGAAAAGAGCCTAAAGAGCAAAGATATACAACTGAGCACAAAAGTTAGAATTGCACAGTCAGCCCTCCATTTTTGTGGGAGATCCGTTCCAGACCCCCCGCGGTGAAAACAGAGATTTGCCAATATTCAAGCCCCATAGGCACCCCCATTAATTTCAATGGAGGGCGCCCCTCCATGAATGTGCAAAACTGCAGACTTCAAGCCCTCAAGAATGGAAGGGCGACTACAATTGTAAGCTGTTGTATCCCTCATCACCATGTATGGATACGGGAGCTGAACAGTGAAGAAAGCGGATAGGAAGAAAATCAATTCATTTGAGATATGGTGCTGGAGACAGTGTTCAGGATACCATGAACATCCCAAAAGACAAACAAATGGGTCCTTGAACAGATCAAGCCAAGATGATCAAATTGAGGCTGTCTTACTTTGGCCAGTTCATGAGAAGGCACAATTCATTAGAAAAGACAATAAAGCTAAGAAAGGTGGAAGGAAGTACAAAGAGAGGAATGCCACATGATAGATGGATGGACTCTATTAAGGAAGTCACAGGTATGAATTTGCAGGACCTGAGCTGAGGATGTGGAGTCTTGGAGGTGACTCATCCACAGGGTCACCATGAGTCAGGATTGACTAGAAGGTGTTAACAACAAGAAGAAGAATTCAAAGACATAGCTGTGTTCATCTGGAAAATCAGATGCAATGGGTTCTTGCAGCACCTTTGAGACTAAGGGCCTTTGCAGACTGCCAGAAACAGTGCAAATTGAGTCCACTTTAACTGCCCTGACTCAGTGCTAGGGAATCATGGGGACTGTAGTTTATTGTGGCACCAGAGCTCTCTGACAGAGAAGGCTCAATGTCTCAGAAAAAAATACAATTCCCATGATTCCCTAGCACTGAGCCAGGGCAGTTAAAGTGGACTCAAATTGCACTATTTCTAGCAGTCTGCAAAGGCCCTATCTGAAAGACAGAAGTTGGTAGCATGAGCTTTGGTTGACTTGAGCCTTTACAAAAGCTCCTGCTACCAACTTCTATCTTTCTGGTAGTCTCAAAGGTACTGCAAGATCTCTTAAAACACATGTTGCAAGCTTTCAAAGAAAGGTGTCACTGTTTTGTAGATTTTGGATGTTATTATACTTTGCTTCTTGAGGCAGCAGGTCCTGAGAAGGGTGGTAGAAACAGTTGCTCTCTCATCCATCATAAGGTAGCTGGTTCTCTTCAGATGCGGTAGAGCAGTGGTTCCCAACCTTTTCTATGCCCCACACTCGTACAGGAAATGTTTGATTAATCTCTGCACCCTCTACAAAAGTAATATCACACTTGAAGACTAAGAAGTCTAATTTCTAATTTTTGAACCACATACAATACTTTGAGTGAACAAACTGAACTTTAAAAAACAAGCTTTTAACTTAGATGCAAATCTAAGTTGGGCAATTAGACTTTAATTCATTCAGGAAAAAATGTAAACAAAATCAATCCTAATTGTGAACATGAAATTCAATGACTTCTTTGCTCCTGCTTCTCATTCATGATTTTTGTCAAAACATGGAACTTCCTTACTGACTGCGATTTGCAGGTGCACTTCTGGATTCAGGCGATTTATAGATTTTGTCTTGACTTACAAAAGGAAAGTGAAGCCAGATGAACACACATGTCTTTGTCGCATCCCCTGAAATTCCATCTCATAACCCCTGGGAGCACAAGAACCCAGGTTGAGAACGCTTGTGGTAGAGGCAAAACTTGGAAAGGTTTTATCTCCCAGGAGCCATACCGGCTGGGACATTTGGGAAATTCTAATCCAAAAAACAAAACACTCGGCCCCACAGCTTTTCATGCTGTGGTGGTAGTTCTGGTGTCACATCATGAGGGTAGGGTTGACAGCTTGTCCTTTGCCTCAAGCAGCAATATTTCTAGGGCCAGCCCAGAATATCTCAGCTATTTTGTCTTGTCATAGTAAAATCTTTTGGACTAATCCAGTTTCCAGCTGTGCTCCTCCAGATCGCCTCTTGTTTGTCTCCAGCATCTGTCCAATATACTGCCTCTGGGCATAGAAATCCCACATTGCCATCTCTTTTTAAATATGTGAATAGGGATGGGGTGGGATGTTCTCTCATTGTGCTCATGGAGGTTGTGACTGGATGCTGTTGCCCACTTTCTGCCCACTCACTTTTGCTCTAATCACTTGGCTCCTCTCTCATTAAGTCCTAAAACTGAGAAATTCTGTTACAGGACCCATGACAACTTCCTTGCCTTTCACCTCAAAGCTTTTCCTGGCATTTCTCTCCATAGTTCAGCTTTTATATCCTAATTAGACATCATTACTGCCTGTGATCTTCCATCCTTCAGTTCCACCACCTTCCATGGTCTAAAGGTCTCCTTTCCACTTGACTCCCCACCTTGGAATTACCCACCCTCCTCTTCTTCTCTTGATTACCAGTGTGAAGTCATCTCTTTTTCTGTTTATGTACTCTGACTTTATGGCAACACTATCACAAGGTGCTTTTTTTTTGGCCACATTTACTCAGAGGAACCATTCCTCTTAAGCAATGGCGTCACTAGGGTTGGCATCACCCAGTGCGGTGAGTCATGATGTCACCCCCCTCATCGACCTCCTCCCATCTCGCACCATACAGAATCTTTAGCCATGTTTTTTGTACTAATATTGCTCATTAATTGTAATTCTTACATATCACTGAATGTCATGGTAATAGCTGTGACATAAAAAACTAGCAAAATTTAAATTATACCTTTAAATGACAATATCATACGCACAATATCAACAGCCTTAATGTATTTACATATATATATATATATATATATATATATTTCACTTGGTTGAAAAAATTGAAAAAATGTAAAAGAATAAAACATTTTTTAAAAAATTAAAAAATTAAAAACTGAATTAAAAAAAAAACACTGGGACCTCTAATTCCTCTCACTGAGCCTCACTCCACTCATACCATCTCTTCAGAATTTTAATGGGACACAGACTTTAGCCCATTTCTGTCCAAAAGCAGATGTTTGAGGAGCATTGGTGTCACCCAACCTTAGGACGTCATCCGGTGCAGTCTGCACCCCCTGCATCCCCTAATGATGCCATTGCTCTTAAGTGGATAAAGTATGATTTGCCCAAAGTCAGCCAGTGGTTTTCCATGGATGAGCAGGGATGTGACCCCTGGATTCCTGGAGTCCTAATCCAGTACTCAAACCACTATACCACTCTGGCTCTTTGCCCCCTTTTTAGTGTTAAATCCCTCCTCTGTCCAAATCCAGCTTTTCTGTGAAGGCTTTTTGTTGTTGTGTGCTTTTAGGTCATTCCCGGCTTATGGCAACCTTAAGGCAACCTTGTCACGTAATTTTCTTGGCAATATTTGTTCAGATGACATTTTCCTTGGCCTTCCTCTCAGGCTGAGACAGGGTGACTTCCCCAATGTCACCCAGTGGGTTTCCATGGCTGAGCAAGGATTCAAACCCTGGTCCCCAGGGCTATAGTCCAAGCTCAAACCACTACACCACACTGGCTCTCATGAAACCTTTGCAACAACCCATTCTAGTCCAGACACGAGGCAACTGCAGGCTTCTCAGATCTCCCAAATTTTTAATAGAATCATAACATCCATCAGTTGCAAAAACCAGAGACAGGAGAATGGAAGAACAGGGTACCTCTGAGCACATTCTGAACCTAAGATTTTGTTTACAGTAATATAAACAACTGAATTCATGGTCCTTTCTCTCTCTCTCTCTCTCTCTTGCACACACTCACATTACTCACATTTACCCTAGGCTTTCTTCATTTTTCAAATTTAATTGTGATTGCTGCTAAACAACCAAGAGCCAAAAAATATTGCAGATCTTCCATAGATCATCCAGAAATCAGTACCACTATAGCTGGCTGGACCTGACCTCAGGTGTAGCTGCACTGCAGAACTAAAGCAGTTTGACATCACTTTAACTGCCATAACTCTGTCCTACAGAATGCTGGGATTTGTAGTTTGGTGAGGTATTCAGCCTAGTCTGTCAAAAGCTCTGGTGTCTCACCAAACTACAAGCCCCGTTTTGAAGGCTAGAGTCACGACAGTTAAAGTGGTGTAAAACTGCTTTAATTCTGCAGTGTGGCTACACACCCAGTCTGCTCTGGGAAGTGAAGCAGGGTTGGGCTGGTTAGTATTTGGATGAGAGACCACCAGGAAAGACAAGGGTTCTCCAGGTTGGGTTAGTAAAAATACATTGCCTGAAATACTGGAAAGCCATTACTGCCAGTTAGACTTGATAAGACTGGGTTAGATGGACCGACGGCCTGACATAAGTTTCCCATGTCTGTAGTTCTGCCCCTCTGACCCAGTCCCAGGCTCTGTTCCAGCTTATATGCCCTTTGTGGCAGGCCTCTTAAATCACCATTTGCACAGATGGTGCTACATAAACAAAGAAACATCTTCTTTATATCCTGCCTTTTCATTGCCTACATAATGCAGCAATGCACAGACAGGCTATAATTAAACACAATTTAAAAATATACTCTACAAAACATGTAGGATGCTTCCAGAGGGAAAATTACTACCATCTTCTGTCAATAAGCCTATGCAGCTTTTCTGCCTTTTCCTCCTTAACTTAATTTTTTTGGTCTTAAGACAAAAACATTGTGGAGAAATTCACAATGGGAGTTGCAAATGGATGGCAAATATGCCTGGACCCTCAAGTAAAATCTGATGAATAGCCTTATTGGAAAGACCCTAAGACACCAGATTTTAAAAAAATCAAATGCAAATGACATATTTTAAAATGTCCTATCTCCAGAAAATGGATCAATAAAAGCCTATATAGGCAGCGTTTGGGAAAGTTACTTTTTTGGACAACTCCCTGTTTTGGGGGATTCTGGAAACTATAGTGCCAACTGACTTTTCCAAGCTATGGGCTGCAGTGAGCCAGGTTAAAACAAACAAAAAATTCTGTATTCTTCCCTCCCTTTCTGGTCTCCTGAATTCTACAAGCTGTTTAGTTAACTAATAGTAAAATGAACTTCCATCAGTTAGTATTCATTCATGTTCCTCCTTCTTCCATTTCCAATTTGAAATAATACAGTTTAGATCAAAATCAGCAGAAAGTGGACTTGACTTTAAAGCAATATTCCCTTTGCTATGCGTACCATGAATATGACACACACTAAAAACACTACAAATGATGTTTTTAAAAAGAGCTATAAGTCACAGTCAGGGAACACAATGTCGTTGGACTACAACTCCCATCCTGTTTTACTATTGGTTGTGTTGGTTAGAGGTAACTGAAGGGCCACACATCTCCAAGCTCATCTATAGATGGATGGGGTGGGTGGAAGGCTGTTGAAACCATCACAAACCCACAGTGCTATTTTTCTTAGGACTTGCAGCTGCTGATGGTGCAACACAAAAGGGCAACATCAGGACATCCAAGAAAGCTCCAGGTCACCTTAAAACCTACTAAAACATTTATTACAACACAATATATTTATGAGTTTTAAAGTGTCACAGGAGTCATTGGTTGCTTCCCCCCCCCCCCCCCCGCTGCAACAAACTAAACCTACATTTATAAATAGCAATAGGAAAGTTACTGACAAGTTTGCTTTAAAGTGAGAAAGAACACTAGGTCTTGGGAGGTGTTGAACAGCGAACAGTAGGGAAGCTGTGCCATTGCTGAAACCCAGGGGTGTCACTAGGGGTTGCGGGGAGTTCAGACTGCCCTGGGTGACACCCTAAGGTGAGACTGACACTATCACTCCCTAAATGTCTGCCTTTTGGCAGAAATGGGCTGTGATGTTCACCCACGTCCCTTTAAAATCCTGGAGCTCAGCAGAAGAGAAAGTGTGAGTGGGGCAAGGCTCAGTGGGCAGAGAAAGGAGGGGCCTCAGGTTTTATTTTTTAAAAATTTTCTTTACAAAAATTATTTAAAAAAACACTTCTTACTGAATTTTCACATGGATCTATGTAAATGTAATTACATGAAACTATAGTATCTTGCAAAATCCACAAGACAGTGATACCTTTGTTGGCCTAACCAAAATGCACATTACACATGTTGCATTTTGAAGTTCCACTGGGTTTTTCATCAGGCAAAAGTGTTAAAAATCATACAAGAGAAAGAAAGGGGAGGATGACTATTTTAGTCATAGCCTTGAATTTGGTCAAGATGTTGGGGTTGTTGTCCTCAGTTCAGAGGATATGGAAAGATATTAATGCAGGTGGGCCTCTCTTTCTTCTGACCGTGGGGGTACTGAGAGATTCAGTCCAGGAAACACACTTTAAATTTCATTTGGAAGACAAAAAGCTATTGCCTTTGAGATCCAGTTTCTCTCAAATCCTTTGTGAGGCCACAAAACCCTTTGTTAGGAAAAGAGCACTGAAGTTTACATGAAACTATGTAAATGTAATTTAGGCTGTGCTTATGCTATTTAAATTTAAAGATATAATTTTAACTTTGCTGATTACTTATGTCACAGTTATTACCATTGCCTTAAGTGATATACAGGAATTACAATTTATGAGTAATGTTAGTACAAAAAACATTGCTAAGAGTTTGGTACAGTGTGATTTGGTAAGAGGTCAAAGGAGGTGGCACCATGAGTTGGCACACTTGGTGATGCCACTGCTGAAACCTCAGCCCTCGGGTGTCTCTCCTTGTTCTTGCTCCGGGTCAATACTACCCCTCCTCACTGAGCCTGGAAACATTATCTTTGGACTGCAACACCCAGAACCCCCCAACCAGCCAGCTGCCTAGAGGATTCAGGGAGCTGCAGTCCAAAAGAATTCATGCCTCCTAAACTCTACAACCCTCCCCTTTCCACAGCCAGTGAGATTAAATGCTCCTCTGGGGATTGTGGCTATTTCCAGGAGAAGCAGGGATGATGAAGGTCAGAGAAAGGATGGGTAAGAGGAGAGCAGGGTGATGACTGGAATAAAAAATGTCTTGAACATTTAATGTGTAAGGAAGGTGGTAGCTGCATTATGAGTAAAAAGTGGTGGGTAGTGTATGAATTGGTGAGGGTGAAGTCATTGGATGGACAAGATTAACAATCCAAAGTATAGAGGTTGTGTGTGTGTGTGTTAATTGTAGTGGAAAAAAGCCATAATTGCCTTTACTCCTTTGAGTAGTATGTCTGTGGGGGGGGGGGGGTTAAAGGAAAAATGTGTGTGTGGGAAGGAAATGATCCATTGACTATACCAGTGACCTTGCAATGAGCACCAGAGCAGCCTGTTTTCCCCTTCTTTCCTCCCTCATCCCCTCTCCTGGCAAATTATAGTAGCTGTCTTAAAAACAACAACAATAAAAAAACCTCTCCACAAATAAGACAGCAAAAATTCCAAGTGCTGATATCATTGTTGTCAAAAAAGGATCCAATTTCTTGATACCATTATAGATACAAGGGGGCTGTTTAGAAAACCAGGTTACAGGAGAGATGATGAAAATGCATCAATCTGGGAAAAGCGGATCAGAAAGGAGTGATAAGAAAAAACAGCAGGGTATCTTTGCTTTCATCACATCAAGCAACATAAGAGGTGGAGGTAGGATGAATTGGCTTTCAAGATGAATAAGAAGGGGAGTCAAGCTCAACTTGTCTTACAGTTACAACTCCCCCCTCTTTTACACACACACAAATCCCCCCACAAGTACAGTAAGTTACTATGTTTTCTTCCTTATAAGTCAGATGATTAATAGAAATAAAAGATAGCTGTGAGGCATCATGTTCTTTTCTTGGATTCAGTCCTTACTTTAATCATAGTTTTAATGGAAAAAAGTATGAAAAAGTTTACTCTTTTTTTAAAAAAAATATGATTCCCAGAATCCCTGCAGACAGTACAGATTTTAGACAATACTAGTTGGGAGACTGTGGGTATTATGGGGAGGGAGCTAACATTTTCAAGCTCTGCTAATGAGCCATTTGGCTGCTCTTTACTGGAAAGTATGTTAGAATTTACAGTACAAGAGGAGGTGGGGGGAACAACACACATACATTAGAAATGGCAATCTTGGAAGCCAATTTTGAAAAGTGAGTGAACAAAGGATAGGAGTTTCAAAAGAAAAGAACCAGATGGAAGCAATGGGACTGTGGTAATACACAGATAATAAAAATAAGTGCCTGAAAATAAATCCATTCCTATCCAAAATGACAATGGTGTCAGTGCAGAATACACATTTCTGTTTCTTTCTAGTCCTGACTTTTTAATCTCCTCACTCACTTTCTATCACTGTGTTATA